TCAAGACTCCTCAGACGCCAATAAAAGCCCTTGGCGTTCTCTAAGATGTGCCAAGGGCAATACTGTACAGTAGCTTAAATGGGTACCTTCCCCATGTGGACGTCACCTCATTTTTAGGAAGGCTGCTAAGTGGAAGTGGCAGTGGGTGGTTCAGCAGATGTTCAGCGCTGAACTCTCCGAGCTTCAGTTTGAAGACAAGAATTGAAGTAATTAGCATGTATTGTTTGAGGAAAGTAATGTTGCCTCTGCTCATCTTGATTTTCATGGATCGGAGCACTCCATGGTGCCTTTGGGAGGGCTCACTTAAAAAAAATTCCTAAGTGCCTTGAGTTATATTTCTGTGCATGGCCTGAATTGCCCCAATTGCATCATCCAGCACAGCGCAGTACCTATTGCCTTGAAGAACTTTCTCTTAGGATCTACAACTAATCAGCCCTTCACCTCATTTTGAAAGGGGCTCAGCCTTTTAGACTGTGTAGACTATAACAGTGTATGCCCATGGATGCAAAGGCCTCCCAAAATGCAGCACATTGATGGTGCTGTCCTCTAGCAGGCAGGAGACTCAGCTGCTTCCCTTGTGGATGGCATTTAAACCCGTGTTTCCCAGGTGTTAGGCTGCTCTCCTGCCCCGAGTAAAGCTTTGCAGGGAGCTTTAAGGCCTTGCTGAGCAACAAAGCTTCATTCTTAGGGCACTTAGGGGTGCAGAGAGTGATGGGGTGCAGGCCTTACTCCCCAGGCAGTTTGTACATTTTTAACCAGTGACTGTTCAGTGCAAAAGGAACACAGCTTAAGATGCTCAGAGGATCTTTTTGCATCGCAAATTAGTCGTTTCTTGACGAGCTGAAATGCTGGTGTGGATCTGGCAGCTGCCCAGAAACTGTACCCAAACTGTCAGGTCCCATTTCTCCCTTGCGTTTGGCTTCAGCCACAGATGTCTGAGCTGCTATTTCCACTGGGCTCTGCAGATGCCAGCTGGGCCATTTGCAGATATCACTGAGTCCCCAGAAGAAGCTGCAGCCATGGGAGACTTGGCGCGCTATCACGAGGTGCCACTCAGTGGAAGCTGCAAGTACATGCAGCCTCTGCCGAAGCTTCTGCCTGAAACAGGGACAGGTCTCCTGCTGGGCAATTGCAAGCTGTGCTCACTGTCCGAAACGCTGGATTTCAGTCTGTGGCACGGACTGGCTGGCTCTGTGGGGTGAGAATAACTCACACCTGCAGGGACCAGACCAGGGCAGAAAGATGAGGAAGAGCTATGCTCGGCAATGATAGCTGGACAGTACTCACAGGACGTTTGTAAAGCTTAGGGAAGACAGAATCACAGAATCTTCTAGGTTGGAAGGGACCTCAAAGATCATCTTGTCCAACTGTCAACCTAACTGACAAAAATAGACACCCGCACATCAAACAAGAAGCATCACCATCACTAAACCATACCTCCCAGCACTACATCAACCTGTCTTTTGAACGCCTCCAGGGATGGTGCCTCAACCACCTCCCTGGGCAGCCCATTCCAATGTCTGATAACCCTTTCAGTGAAAAAATTTTTCCTAATATCCAGCCTGAACCTCCCCTGGCGTAACTTGAGGCCATAAAAGACCTAGGTGGGCTGAGGTGTTCCAGGCTCTGTTGCTAGTCATCCAGCCTCTCACATACTCCTAAGAGTTTCCCATCCCAAATACTTTTCTGCCTCAGAGAAGCTATAATTAAACCCTGAGCTACCTGTCCCACTTATATCTTACATAGGCTTAGCCCTTCTGTGACTTCATTTCTTTAAAGTTGCTTCTCCAGTCAGCTTAAGAGGCTCAGCTGCTTTCTTGTCAAGTGTCAAGCTCAGGCTTCACTACAGGCATGTCAAGTTCCTGAAGGGATGGTAGCAGGACAATCCTATATGATGGTCAGGACTAAGTCTGACAGGACAAGTACATGACCCATCACAGAGAAGTGTACCCTTTTCAAAAGAGAAACCCCTACTTATTTGGCAAACAAGAAAACAAAATCCTAAAATCCTAACCTCTACAAACCTCTACAAAGAGAGTTCTGCTGGTGGAAACAATGGATGGTAAGAGGCTTCTGTGAGTTTATTGTTCCAGTGTGAGGTTTTCAGTTGACAATTCTCCCGAAGAGCTGCAGTAGATAGATTTATTGTTCCAGTGTGAGGTTTTCAGTTGAGAATTCTCTGAAGAGCTGCAGTAGGTAGGTTTTTCTGTTTCTTCATATGCAATTAGAAAACACCCACTTCATCTTGCTGGTGTGCTGTTTTATTTAAATTCAGTTGGCTTAATCCCATTGCAGCCAGGTTTACTTGACGTTTCTCCATTAGCTAAATACTGCTGGATGCTCCAGCACAATATGCTTTATGGCAAGGAGTGAGAAACACAGGAGCAGGCTGTAGAGTTAGCGGCATTCCCTGCCACTGCCCTTTTGCTCCTGTTGAGCATTGTGTTTTGCTGTGGAATAGTAACAAGGCTTCACTGACAAGAGGCGAGGACAAGTGTGACTGAGGAAAGGGAAACCACTTTGACTTCGTAATTACCCTTAAGCTCTACAAACTGCCCTTTTGTGATTGATGGCCAGATGCCCACACATCTCCATTCTTTTTCTGGCTCTTCCTTGCCTCACTGATTCATTCTGGGTGAAGAAGCTCCCTTAAACAAAAGGCAAGCATCTTGGCATTGCTTCCATGTTGGGAAGTGCTATTTTAGTTGCTAGGGGACCTGCTTAGAAAAAAAAAAGCCAACTCTTAAAAACAGTATTTCCATTTCAGGCAATCTTACCTTGTGTCATTCGGTTGTTTCAGCTAATTTTCTCAAAAAATCATAAACTGGTTGTGTTTTCCTGTTAGTATCTGGGGGGAAGTCTATTAAGACTTACCACTGCTTGAGAACTAAACTCACATGCACGCATACATCACAAGGAGCCTAAACTGAGTCATTCTCTACACTGGCAATATGTTGCCTAAGTTCCTGGAGGGGAAGAAAGAGAAATGGTACAAAATCTAGAGGCAATTGCACTGTGTTTTTTGGCTTTGGCTCAGGTTCAATGTTCGAGTAGAACATATTGAATACAATTTTAAAAATTCAGCAGTATTCTTGTGAAAATGATCAGATATGTCTGCTGAGAAAATCAAATGGATCAGCACATTTTCTATGAATGAGTCTTAAACGTAGGAGGAGAGGTCGTCTGTTTATAGGCTCAGGCAATAGCTCTAGGAATGGAAACCAGTGATTTAGATGGAGATAAAAAATTGGTAATAATTGTCCCCAGATTAAAATTTTAAAAAATACAGATTCATATAGCTGTATCTGAGGTTAAGTAGAATGCGGCACTGGTAAGAACTAAAATAAAAGTCCTTGGAGTGTATTAGGTAAAGAACAGTCTATGCTTGCAAGTAATTTTAGCAGCTAAATAGCTTTGCTCGTTCTCTGATACCTAATGATAATGTCTTCAATTTCACACATTGATTTTTAAACAATGCATGCCAAAATAAAGTGAGTTCCATAGTCAAATTAGCACGGTCACAGGTTCGCTGCTTTCTCCACACCTCATTGGAAACGCCACACTGTTGGAGCAAGCTAATTCCCTTATCCTCAAGGTGACTGTTGGAGTGGGGCTTAGATTGTTCTGCCCAGGCCATTTGCATGAAGGACCAGCTGGTCATCAGCTGTAACAGCTATAAAGCGGCACAGCCCATCCTCTAGCAACTGCTCTAGTCGTGCTCCCTGAAAATCTCTTGAAACATCTAAGCACTGCATTTCCATTGTCGGTAGTAGAAATCTTGCCAAATAACCTCCTTAGTGGATTACAGACAAACACAATTGGTATTAAATTAAGTGTAGTTTTAGATGGGAAGAGGGTGGGAGAAGAGTGAAGGAACCTAGTATGAGCAGAAGGCGCATTATGGACAACCCTGGAGCCACTAATCCATGTAAATTGTGGGACAAGGTCTGTGGGGTGGAGTTTCCATGGGAGACAGCGCTGGGAGGGAAGGAGATTTTGGGTATTTCTACTACTGTACCTGCCACAGACTTCAGGCTGTAGTATACTGGTGTAGGGCAACACAGGCAGTATATGTACTAAAGGCAGGCTCTTGAGGTCCCCCAGAGCTGATCCATTCCACTTGCCTCTTCTGTGTCTGGTAAGGGTAAAATGTAAAGGGAAACTTTCCTTATGTTTTCCTATCTAAGGCAGATACAGCTACTAAAATCAGGCACCCGTAGGTATGTGTGGTCAAATGCTACAGAAGAAAGGAGCTGCCATATGCAGCAAGTCGTTTTATTGTGCTGAGTATGAAATGACCTTGGAAAACAATATCTGTGCTAGCAGAGTGTAACCCAAATCAGTGCCAGGAGCACCTGTGATGAAACACAGACCTAGTGAGGAGCTAGTGGCTTTCTGTTTGTTGCTCTCTTTCCCACATTTAGGAAATACCATATGAGGAGAAATTAAAGGGTAATGTGCTAGGATAGGAAAAGGACCCCCAGATACTGTAACTTGACTGCCCCAGTGTGTCAGCCTAAGGAAGACAAGAAAGCAGCAAGAACGTCTTCTCAGGCACCTCCATCCACCTAGTCAGGCTCAGCTTCTGGGCTCCTCAAGGTGTGGCCAGCAACAGCCTAAATATTTTTACAAAATTTTTGAGCTACTTGGAAAATGAGTGCCATTGTCTTGGCTGGGAGGCCTTTCCTTTTACCCATGGACTGCCTGGGGAACAGAGTGGCCAAAGCTGCTGAGGGCCATGAGCTGTTTTTCCTGGTCTGTGCTATGATGCTGACAAGGGCAACGGCTGGCAGGGTTCTCTCTGTGTGTCAAGCAGTTGTGTAGCATTTGCATCTAGAGCTGTTCCTGACTGCAGAAGGCACTCCCTACACTTCAAACAGCTCTCTTCTGAGCAACAGGGAGTTCCCCCTGCTGAGGTGGTGGTACAGGTGGAGATGGCATTGCCACCACGCACGTGTTTTGGCGCTTTTAACCATGCTCCTTTTCGGTTTGCTCCACAGATACTATGTGGGAAAGAGATCCCCCGCTGGGTGAACCGCCTGGCCTACTTCAGCTCCTGCATCCCCTTCCTCCAGAGCTGCCTCCCCAAGGAGTGGCTGACCCCAGCAGCCCTGCAGAGCCACATCAGCCTCGGCCTCCACAAGGAGGAGCAGGGGGACACAACGGATGAGGAGTCCCCCTCCACCTCCACAGCCCCCTCAGCCTCAGGCACATCGCGAACCTGTAGACACACTCGGGTCTGACCTGTGCCCAGGATGTCTCAAAGAACATCTCCCTCTCTCTTGTACTGTTTCTTTCTCACACCCTTTGGCACACCTTGGTTTCTCTCTTCTCCTCTTCAACGGACGACACAGGGGAGAGAAGACCCTTTCTACTAAGGAGGTGAAGCTTCAGTCCCTTTTCCAAGGGCTGCCACTGCAGTTGCTCGACAAAAAGACTGTGAACTCCAACGCTGTACTGAGGAGTGTGGCAACTAAACTGGATTCTCCTCCCAGGCCCCCCATGCTCCTTGATCCTGGCTCTCTCGGGCAGGAGAGCATGTGTATGGGCAGGGGGGCACCATACTGTGACGTTCCTTCTCTGGTACTGTTTTATCTTTTTATCTCTTCCCCCACCCATTTGAGCCCAGTAGCCTCCTCTCTATTTTGGCTGGGCTTGCCGTTCCCCTGTGACAAATCTCCTGCCCACACCCAGTGAAGGAAGCAGAGCCAGAACTCAACCTTCTCATCTCTTAGACCAGCAACAAGCTCCACTCAGCCCCATCCCTTTTGTAATTATCAGGTTTCTAACTCATGTGAAGGACAAATGAAAGGTGCTGCTGTTCTAAAACCACCAGTTTTCATAACTCAAATTTAAGAGCTCGAATGACTGTCCTGCTCTTGAAAATAATAACAAAGAACCTAGAAAATGAATGTGTTACTGTGGCTTTTCTTTGGGGTCAAAAAGAGGATGGGACTAATGCTTACAGGCAGCTACCAAGTAGGTGCAGAGGTGACTGTTGACCATATTGGTGCTTTTTGGCACAGACCCCTCTCAGTTTCCCTAGTTGTAGGCAGCATTCTTCACTTCCCCCTTTCCCCAGGATTCCCTAGGGAATCTCTCTCCTAGCTGACATTTGCTGGCTGTCTTTGGGAGAATGGCCTTCCTGAGCACAAGGAGGAAGAGAGTGAATCTGTTGGGAAGATCAGTATTTCCTTAAGCTTTTCCTCCTGCACCCACTGACCTAAAACGTGGTTCCAGAGCCACCCTTCCCAGCCTATTATTGAGCCAACTCAAGAAGGTAAAAATAAGTGGTAAACCCAAAGAATGTCAAACTGTTTTCTTCTCCTCCCTTTTTGGAGGTGGAGGGGGAAACTTAGGACCACATCTGGAAAGCATGGATGACCCTTTCAATGCATGGGCCACTACAGTGCCTTCCGTTGTGTGCACTATTTCAGTGGCATGAAAAATGGGCACAGCTGGCTCACTGGCCTCTCCAGGCTGGCTCTTGACAAGAATCTGGTCCTTGGATGCATCTATGCTCATTCTGACAGCTGATGAGAAAGCAGAGGAGGAAGAAAGGACAAGTACACCAACACTTCCACTCAGTTACCTCACTAGGACTTCTGATCAGAAGACGTAGGAGAGAATCAAAGGGTAAATCCAGGCCCCCTTTCTCCCTTGCACTTCCTTTTGGCTACACAAAGGAGGATGAAAAAGGAACAGGCACAGCGTTGAGAGGGGGTTGCCATTTTAGAAATGCTGTTCCAAACAGCTACTACTGAGTCAGGACTTCCACCCTCCACCCAGAAAGAACTACAAGCCCTTAAGATGGGTGGTTGTCTCCTGTTATTGGTCGCAATAGCATGCTAAGTTCAACCAGCTGTTTCTTTAGCTCAGGTATACAGAAGCGTGTGCTTTCAGGGCTGAAGGTCTTGGCTATGATGTACATCATGTCTGCCTAGAAAGCGCTTAATGGTTTGTTACATGTGCATGCTCTTAGAGAAGCAGCAGACTTTGGAGAGATCTATTGGATGGGAATACAACTCACAGGATGCCCTTGCTCCACTGCCTCCTGAAGTGATGCATGTTTGGGCAACAAAACCTTTACAATATGCCTCTCATTTTCATCCTCCGAACAAATTGCTGCAAGTTCTGTGCTGAACTAAAGTCATGTTCCTTATTAACCTTGGCTGCTCACAGCCAGTACTGCATTGTGAGCAATTCTGCAGCTCCTGGTATCCAGTCCAGCACCAATCTTGATTACCCTGGCTTGTCCAGGGATGTTTAATAAGATTTCCATCCTGTTCTCAATCCCGCTGCCCAGAAACCTCATTACACAATGTACTGTTGCACTCTCTATTCCCCTGCAGTCATGGTCATTGCAGCCTAAACCAGCAGTGCAAGCTCCATTTGTCTGAAGTTCCCAGTGTGCCTGCCAATAGCCAGCAGCACATTATGTGCAGTGAATTTTAAAATCTCTTTTTAGGTCCTTCTCTGGAGAAAAGTGAGAAGAGGCTTTCCCAGAGCTTTTGTCTAGGCCAGGGAAACTGCAGTGAGAAACACCTAGTTCCTGATGTGACAAAAGCCAGCTGGGCATCACCTCATGTTTCTGCTCTGCACCTGAGCTCCAGGTAAAGCACCGTGTATATACATCTAGGCGAGAACCAGGGCTCCAGAGGCACATCTCACACACAGATTTCCTTTCACAGTATTTCACAAAGTAAAAAATGTTTAACTGGCTGTGTGGTAACCCGGACAAGAAAGCTACATTCAGCCTCCCTGGGGACATGAATATGTGCTTGAAGTATTGGGAACAACACTTGGGGTGAGATGTCAGTATCATAAAAAACAGATGTTTGTTTATCTACTTTTATGCTTGTCCGTCTGTTTATGGCAGTAGGGGTCACAGCAAGGAGGGATCAAACCTCTGTTGTAAATCAAAACCAGAATATATTCCAGTCTTCAAAAGCATTTCTCCCCACCCGTCTCTGTTCAAGGTGACCGACCAACAATGATAAGAACAAAGGGACACTGTGGAAATAAAATATATATTGATGATAGCTTTACCTCTGTAATTTAATAGTATTTTAGATTATTAAACATGAAGACATTTTAAAGTCTAATTTACTGTTCATCTCTGGTATAGCATGTTCATTTTAGGCACTTTTCTTATCCCCCCAATTATTACAAAATTATGGTTGTTATTATATAACTATATCATATTTGTATTTAGTTACACATTTGCTTTCTCTTGCTGTTTCAGAGCATAACACCATGGGAAAATTTTAGATACCAACAGTTATCAATGAAAACAAAAGAGCAGCTTTTGAATCTTAACAAGGGCACCCCAAGGCACTGGCACAAACTCTTAACCCATCTTCTTACTGCCAGGACTTTTGGTGGTCCTTTTAAAAGCCAGAATGAGAGGGCACCAACTCTGCACATGGGCATCAGCAGCTGTGGGTCCTGCCTTGAGCAAAGAGCTAATAGTACCCAGGTGGGACAGAAAGACTGAAGGTGAGGTTACCATAGTGCTGGAATATTAGAGTTACAATACAAACTGTTTCCAGGGAAAGTTAGAGTGAGAAGAAAGAGGTGAAGTAATAACCTCTCTTCTCAGCTCATCTGTATCTATAATAGCAACTCTCATAATTTCAGGATATTATTCTTACTGATTTTTTTTGTCAGTTGGCTTCCTCTTCCCGAGTCTGTGATTTGAGACCCATATCTCTCACATTCTCATGAAGTTTTAAAAGGGACAGCTGTGCCTCCAGAGGCCCTGGGTGAGCTGGTCCCCCACCACTGAGCCTGTGTTCCATGATGGGTTCATCCCAGTCTCAGTACAGTGCAGGGATGGACACAGACCTGTTCTCTTGCTCTCATTGCTCCCAGCTGAGAGTACAGATTTCTGGTATTCAGACCCATGTTGCCTTTCCATTACTGAGGTACTCAAGGAGCAGTCATTTCCTGCCCTGTTATTTCTTTTTTCTTCAGTTCTGTTTATTTGTCTCTAGGCTGAAGAGGCTCTCAGAACAAGTTGGTGGCCACTGGATTGCAATAATATTAGCTTATCTTCTTATGTTTGATTTTCTTGTCATTTTAGTTGTACATACGTGGTGGCTTATTGACATGTTCAGAAAACATAAGTAAAGTTCCTCCACTAATTCCTTGATGTGATTAATGGAGAAAAACCAGAGGAAATAATCACCAGTGTTTCATTTTTCAAATGGTTTTAAATTACTCTTTGAGTTGAGGCAGCAGGTGCCCTGTTCCACTTTGCCCCTGCTGTGCTCACTACCAGGCAATGATTTGTGTTGTGGAAAGGCTGTGTAGTGACTCAGGAAATATTTTAAAGAGGAACTTCCATTGTGCCAGCTTCAGCTCTACCATTGCCACAAGCTGCCAGAACATGGCAGAGCCTCTGGCTGCAGTAATATGTGAAAAGATCACAGCCTGTGCCTGGAGAATAGATGTTCTTATCTCCAACATATCAGTACTCCACCATTGTGCCTGTGGCTCTAACTGAGAGCTGTTTGAGTGGATGGAAGGGCACATTTAATTACTACCAGCCAAGAATGACTAATGGCTCGAAATTTCAGAGTAAGACTGTCCATTAGCGCTGTTGTAGCCAGCTTTGTTTTGAAAAGGCTGTAAAAATTTCCAGGGGTCCAATGTGTTTGGGATAAGGGATAACAAGTCGGGAAAACAGACAGTATGATCTTGGCAATCTTTCCTTAGGAAACCAGGCTACAGAAAGAAAGACGTGGCTAGCGGCCAGATTTTGATGGCTACTTTAATCAATGAGTTTTGATGGAAAGTTCAAAATTACAGAAGGGTGGCCCCAGTATGTGTGTTCCCCTTCAAAAGCTAACAGGGGCTGCATGTGTAGCTTAACAGTGTTCAGCTGGCTTGTCTCTTGTTACTAGTAAAAGATTCAGCTGGATAAGTTCTGGTCCTCCGCTGGGTATTCACACAGCCTTCAGCTCTCGCTGGAGATGGCAGAGGCTGCGTATGTTTCTGCAGTGCCCTCCATGCTTACTGATCCTGAATGGCAATGTTTCCTGCTATTTCAGCCCTCTTCTCCCTCCCACCCTGACAAGGTATCCCAGGTGTAAGCTGCAATTAATCTCTCCATGCCACTTGCTTTCCTGAAATGTCCCTGGCCTCAGTTCTGCAGGCTGGCTTTTCTGATGTGTGTGGGGAGGTGAAATGCCAAGCTCTGTTGAGATTCAGTGAACTAGTTGGTTATTTGAACTAGTCATCGCTTGATTGTGATTTTGCAGAGTGGCAGACTTTTGCCTTTGAGGTCTCCTTTACCCAAGCCAAGCCCTTTTACCAAATACCCTCCAGAAGCACAAAAGGGAGTTCAGAAAACTGTCAGGAGTCTGAGTCAAGTCCTCTCACTTGTAAGTAAATGTTCAGTGCAAAACAGATAGGCATGCTCAGAGGATAGTAACCCTACATATGTGAAATATACTTCTGTTGCTGGAAGGTCTTACAAAGTAGTTATACGCAGTGCTAAAACTTCTCGAGGCTCCAGACTGCAGTACCTACAGCACTTCAAGCAAGAAAAGGTAATCCTCATCTTGCTGACAGGTGGAAGAGCACTCTCTTCACTGCTGGGAATGTGGCTATGGATGCTTGCATGGATTTTTCTTCATCGTGCACAGCACAAGCCTTTGTTTCTTCACAAAATATTTGCAGCTGCAAATAGTGAAGCTCTTCAACAACAGCTCTTCATTCCCAGCTTTTCCTCTGTCTGCTGGAATGGACTTGTCTGGGGAAAAATGTTCTTTCTTTCACCTTTGAGGTTCTTGAAGGGAACTTCTCCTGAGGGGCTTCCTGTGACAAACCACCCGGCCACGTAGTAACACTGAGCTCCTCATCAGCCTCTTCTCTGTAGTCTTTTGTTGTTTTCTCATTTCTGTGACTTCAGAGGTGATCTTATTGAAGATGAACTCCTCATCTCCATATACATCCAAAGGGAATTTTATCTTAACAGGATAATTCAGGGTTACTGCAGTTTTGTGGATGGTGCTTTCATCTCACCATTAGGGGCTATGCTGTAGTGGCTAGCTTTGAATCATCAGTCCTGGCATATACACTGACTGAACTGCCATTCATGGATATTAGTGAATGGGCATCCACAGGTACCAAAAGTAATCAAGAATAAGAATGAGAGCGTAATGTGTAGCAGCCCTAATCTAAAAATGAGAATGCCACTGTGCTAGGTGTGGTAGAAACACCTCACAAAAATAATATGTTTGCACAAAAAATGTTTCCAGGAGAATGTGATTCTGCCCCTCTACTCTGCTCGCATGAGACACCACCTAGAGTACTGCGTCCAGGTCTGGGGATCCTAACATAAGAAGGACATGGACCTGTTGGAGCGAGTCCAGAGGAGGGTTATGATGATCAGAGGGCTGGAGCACCTCTCCTTTGAGGACAGGCTGAGAGAGTTGGGATTGTTCAGCCTGGAGAAGGATCTGGGGAGACCTTATATCGGCCTTTCAGTACTTAAAGGGGGCCTACAGGAGAGATGGGGAGGAATTATCAAAGTCAAGCAGGGGGCCTACAGGAGAGATGGGGAGGGATTATCAAAGTCAAATGATAGTACGAGGGAAAATTGTTTAAAACTGAGAGGGTAGATACTGGGAAGAAATTCTTTATTGTGAGGGTGGTGGAACTGGAACAGGTTGCCCAGAGAAGTTGTGGATGCCCCATCCCCAGAGGTGTTCAAGGCCAGGCTGGATGGGGCTTTGAGCAACCTGGTCTGGTGGGAGGTGTCCCTGCCCATGGGAGGGGGTTGGAACTGGATGATCTTTAAGGTCCCTTCCAACCTGAACCATTCTATGATGCTATGATTCTCTGAATAATGGGTGGGGAGATTTCATTCCATATACCATAGATGGCAGATGAAAAAAAAAGGGGTAGAGACCTCATTGGAGCTTCAGGACTGTCCAGGTTTGGCCACCATGGAGCCAAATCATTTTAAACCTCAATTTCCCTCTCAGCACACACGTGCTGTTAATGGCACCCTCTGGCCTTAAATCCAGGCTGCACACTCGTGCAGGTGACAGAGTGGCTCCAGCCCCGTCCCTTCCTTCCCATAGATATGGTGGAAGCCATATAAGATCCGAGGAACTGGGCCGCAGCTGGGAGACCGGGTGGGACATGCTCCCTAGCAGACATTTCTCCTCAGGAAAGCCAGTGGGGTGGAGGACTCGTGCAGGTGACAGAGTGGCTCCAGCCCTGTCCCTTCCTTCCTGTAGATACGGTGGAAGCCATGTAAGATCCATCCGAGGAACTGGGCCGCAGCTGGGAGACCGGGTGGGACATGCTCCCTAGCAGACATTTCTCCTCAGGAAAGCCAGTGGGGTGGAGGAAGCCATTCAACAGGCCGGCCTGCTACCACCGTACGGGTTTTGAATGCTCATCAAACGCCTGCTAATTCAAAGAGCTTTTGTGATACGGAGGGTGTGTGTGTAGAACCTAGGAGCGCCCTGTGGCTCCATAAGGGGTGACTTGGCTGCAGCTGCCATGTCAGGAAGGCGCCGAGCGCTCCCGGCCGCACCGCTTCACCAGCGTTACTTCAACAAGCGACCAGCCACGGCTGGAGAGAGGCGGGAAGCAGCTCGCTGAGCCCGGCGGCTCTCCACAGGCGACGGCCGCCTCCTTGGGCCAAACACCCCAGGGCAGCACGGAAGGCGGAACGTGTGTGTAGAACCTAGGAGCGCCCTGTGGCTTCCTAAGGGGTGACTTGGCCGCAGCAGCCATGTCAGGAAGGCACCGAGCGCTCCCGGCCGCAACGCTTCACCAGCGTTACTTCAACGAGCGACCAGCCACGGCTGGAGAGAGGCGGGAAGCAGCTCGCTGAGCCCGGCGGCTCTCCACAGGCGACGGCCGCCTCCTTGGGCCAAACACCCCAGGGCAGCACGGAAGGCGGAACGCAGCGTCCCCGGTCGCGTTGCCGCGGCGGGAAGGGGGGGGG